TTTATTATTATTTGTTTTTTATTTATTAATTTTTTTTATATCTGTGTTGGGTTTTTTCAGTTTTAAATAATTATACACATACCAGACATTTAAAAAGCACAGAGCTTTAGGAATCTTAAAATATTAAGAATGCATAGAATCGGGTCGAAGGCTCCTTAAAACACCTCATACAGCGCGAGCAGGATTATTAGGATTAAGAGTACACCATTTTGGGATTTGAATAGCAAGCGAGTTGATGAATAGCAACGGGATTGGGAAATAAGATTTCTGAGTTCAAAATGTTGAACTATGGGATGGTGCTATCTTTAGCTGTAGAGGGATACGTGCGCATGGCCGACTAACTGGAGAGCAAATGACTATTCGATGCACTGGCAACCTGCGGCCAGGTAGCGCGAGGCCAAATTGCTGCCACAGAGACCCATGTCAATGGCGACCTGAGACCTGAGACCTGTGCTCTGCGCCCCGCGCCCTGAACTCTGACCCAAGGCCCAGATGCATTGTTTGAGAAACGCTTCGCATTTTCAATATATAGGTATTGTCAGTATTATGATGGATTTTCTGCACATGCCAGAGTTAGGGTCATATTTGGCTCTAGATTTTCCCACGGTTACAGAAGCGCGCTAAACCTGCAGCCATCACCTGTGTCCTTTCACGTTGAGGATACCTGCAATTCTCGGATAGACCGTGACCATTCGCAGCGCTTAAGGCAACCAAAGGAAGGTAAATACTTATATTTAATTTTGTCAAATATTCCCAGACATCTCACGCGCGCTTTTCATGCTCTCTATTCTTCTTGCTCCGTCTGATTCAATTTTCATACACAGAAGCCCCTGAACTTAGGATCTTTACATCTTAGGATATATTGGTTTATTTTTCTACTCATTCACGAAGGGGATTTGAGCAATGTCCGTCTCGATCCCCCGTTAGGAGCGTGAAAATGGATGTGCAACTAACTTGGTTTTTAATATATCTAAATAAGAAGGCGCGGTGGACTCTATAAAGTATGTCCCCTAAATCTGAGATGTATATCTGAAGATATATGTCGGGCCCTGGGTATCTCTTAGTTGGGCAGTCACAATTACTTTATGTTAGAGGATATCACTTTTTTTTGCGACCTTTTCCATGTTGACTGGAGCAGTCTTTCTAAAGAAAAAAAAAAAAAAGGAAGGCAATAATAATAGGTGTTGAGGCAGCATTTTCATGTCTAAGATACATTCGTAAGCCAAACAAACTTACCAAGAACAACAAAACGCGGCCAAATTTTCATAGTGAAGCGCAAATACCAGCACCACACCAATTAAATGTAATATTGCTTGTATTACTGTTAGGAATAATCTGTTAAAAAAAAAAAAATAAGAAAAATATGATTAGAAGGATTATTGCCGAATACCCAGATACCGTCTAAAATATTTTAAATTCTTAGTGTGAACGGGAAATTAAAAAAATATGTTATATATGATTGAAACGATAAGTCAAAAGGTATTCAACATGGTTATTTTCCAAGCAAAATTTTCATAAATTAATTTTGATATATCATAGAACATATTTTTGAACATCATATTAGCAAATTTGAAACAAAACATAATACTCTTCTTTCTTTTAAATTAATAATTATTATGTATGTAGTATGTTTTAATAAACCCACTTCTATATATTATTATACATATGCATGAGCCATAGAATTATATTAAATAATAAGTACATATATCGGAATTTTTTTGATGCACTGAATTTAATGTTCGTATATACCCATTAGGCAGGGAACCATTCTGAGCGAGCATCAAATAAAATATCGCCCCATTAGTGGCGTAAATTATATTCACTGCTGAACACGAATGAATGAATGTGAAGCACGTGAGTCTCGCAAATAATGTTATTCCAGATAGGCATGCCGCAAACGCGTATTTTGGCTTCGTTTTAATTAAAGCGGAACCCAAAGCTATGCACCACGCACTACGCACTACGCACCACGCACTACGCACTACGCACCACGCACCACGCACCGCGAGCCACGAACCACAGCCTACGAGCCATGCACCACAGGGCGACAGCCGACAAATGACAACCGCAGTGCAGTATGGAAACATGGTGCTAATTACAAATCGCATTCATCAATTTAATGTCACATACCACCATAATTTAAACCTCACAGACCGGATGTCGCAAGAATGGCCGCCACTCAGGAAACTGGTGAACTGTTCCACAATAAACAACATGAATCAAATTCTACTGCAATTTCAAATATTTCATTGTATTACCAAATATTGTATCACAATAAGTTTGTAGTTGATCAATTTTCCATTGGAAGAATTTTGAAAATTAAAATACAAGTATGAAAGATCTAGTAGAGGATCACCGACTAAGAATGGTTTTTAAGACTGTTGCACAACTCCTATGTTAGCGGTACTATTTAGCAAATTGCAGACGTAAGAAAAAATATTAGCGCTTCTAAGTTATTTTCAAATGTGTTATACATAAACTAAATTAGTTAATTATCGTCTGGAATTTATGCATATGTATAACGCCAAATATAAATTCGTCTTGACAGGAGCATATGTCTTACGGTATACTAGAATCAATATTTTACATATGTATTTCAAATACTACCAACGACTAAAAAACAATAATAATAATCATAATATTAGTTCCATAACTAAAATTTATTCATACAGTACACGTAACCATATCTAAACCGAATTAAGCCGAATTTCTTCCTCCTTTTTCTAAATAAAYAAAAATCATTAGAACTAGTCAATAAATAATACGTCAAAATAATTAACTGCATATATATATTTAATAGTGCCATATTTGAGAATATCTTTTATTTATATTCAATATATTTGCACCTAAAGTCTAAATGGATATTGGATTATTTGTGGTCCCTATCCATATCATTCAGGTCAAAATGATGATGTCGACAATATAACTGATGCAAATAATACAACTGATGTAGATTAGTGTGTTAGTGCGGAGGCAATTGTTTGTTTTTAATATTATTTAATCTTAACGAGCACATACGGGACTTGAGGGTCTAGTTTAAATGAATTATTATTGTTTTCGGTTTAAGTTAATGAAAAAGAATTTTAGTTATAGGAGTTTAAAACTTTTGGTTTGTTTGGTTTAATAAATTTGTTCTTGTTTGATCTCTAACAATCTGTTGCTTTTAATTTAATCTTATAATGGTTGCCATTTAATCCATTAAGAAGTCATAACTAATATAAGTATTATAATAGATAATAAACAAGAAAATTAATATTTGAAGGAAGTGCTCGATATATCGATATTATCGATTTTTCTCTAAAATATCGTAAATATCGATACTACGAAATATCGATTTTTTATTACTTTATTTGTGACTAAAAATTAGGTACCTATGGCCTAGATATGGTATACGCGTTTATAGATATATAGTTTATAGATACACTTCGCGTCATCAGGTTAGCGCCCCCCTTACACTCATTTTCTTTTACGTTTTTCTCTTTGCCTATTGCACGCAACTTCTTGGTTTTTTTTTTATTTCATTATCATCATATGAGATGTCTCTCATACCAAAAAAAATCGCGAGTGAAAACCCGTTATGTTTTATTTTCTATTCTTTTCTATTTTCGCAAAAAATGTGTGCACTTATTTTGCGTCATCAGATTAGC